CTCGAAGCATTGACTCAAGGGCCTTTAGATCCTGTGCATCTTCCCCAGTTAAAATCATCACATGCTAAAGAAACTGCACTTGGACAACTACTCAATCATGCTCACTTATTCAGTCTCTTCTTAGCGGCGCCTGCATGTAAACATGCAGGGAGCAGCATCCACAGACACAAACCACCCGCCTTTCAGACGCTCACAGTGGGGCACAGGGGTGTTTCCAAGGCTCTCAGCCTTTCACCCAGCAGGTTCTCCGAAATCAGGACCCCGTTGCCGCCCACCAGCTGCATTAGGGAAGCGCCCTTGGATTCTGCCAGGGGAGAGGGACATGCTGAATAGCCTTGACAATGGAGCCCTTGTCCTGCCCTCCCATCTCCCTTCTGCACTGTCCTCTGTCGTCCCTGGTTCCGGGCTTGACGTCTGTGTGTCTGCTGTTGCTGTCTCCGAAGGCAGGGCTGGTGGTGCTGAAGGGTGAGAGATGCACCTGTCTTCTGGGGGTCCCAGCCTTCCAGCCCTCTGGAGGGCTCCCAGGGGAGGAAAGGCAGGGAGAGGGGAGGTCAGGGCGGCTGAGTCATCTGCCTCTTTCTAGGAATCACCCCACCCCTCCCCATTCAAGCCTCAGGGCTGCACTGTGGACTTCTGAGAAGGAAGGGGGAAGCAGGGGCCAGCTGTAGTGACAATGGCCGCAGGGGACTCGAGCCAACATGTGATGACTTCTGTTCCCCTCTGCAGGCTCTGAGGCCACTCCATGAATCCCAAGAAGAAGGTAGACCTGAAACTCATCATCATCGGAGCCCTGGGGTAAAGCAAGCTCAGCTCCCGCGTGGGGTGGGGGCTTCGCCTTCAGCCCAAGGGAGGTGGAGAATGGGTGGGAGACCTCCTGGGTGTGTTCCCACACCCCATGAGTCCCTTTCTGATTCACTGTCAAGGACACCCTATCTCATAGGAGGGATCTGAGTTGGGTGTGTGGGTGAGACTGGCTTGGGGAGGGGGGGTTGTCTGTGGTCTCAGCCCTGCAGTAAGTAGCTATGGGAATTAGGCAAGTCACCTAGCATCTTCCTGCCCTCCCACCTCTTCACACACACACACACACACACACACACACACCCTGAGCATGGCTATGGAGCACTAAGTCTCTCCACCCCTCTGCTCACTCAAACTGGCCCCTGCTTCCAGAAACGACTCCCTGGTTCCTTGTCACTCGGCCTCTAGTTCACAAAGACAGGCTTGCAGCACTTCATGTCCACAGAGCGTCCTGTGAAATCGGATGTGCTGTGATTTGGACGTGGTGTGGACCCGTATTCGAACCCCAGTCCGTGTTGTCTCCTGCTGGTGCTGGAGCTGCTGGCGGGGGCCAGAGGAATGGGCAGCAGCAGTTGTTGCAGGGGGCCCGGCGGGGTTGGGTTGGACCCAGCCCCACCCACTGTTCCACATGCCTGAGCACCAGGAGCAGACCAAGCCACCACTGCCCCCCTGCCCACTGGACACAGCTCAGGGGCCTGTACCCATTGCTTCAACTGTCTTCATCCCAGCCAGGGTCCGGCACTGCCAGAGTCTGAGCCTGGGGCCTCGAAATCCAACTTGGATGTCATAGATAAAAGGAGAGCTACTGCTCCCTAAAAACCAAAACCCCCAAAAAGCTCATGGGACAGAGTAGCGCTGCCTCGTAGGGTTTTCCAAGGTTGTCCATCTTTCCGGGAGCAGTCGGCTTCCCGTGTCTCAGCGGTCTTAGACATACTGAAGGTCACAGGGAGGCAGGAGGACAGGAGCAGGAAAAGATGCTGAGGTCGGGGTGTGTGTTGAGCGTGTGCATGGATGCACACGTCTCTGCTTGTTGTGTCCTTTCCTCAGTGTGGGGAAGACCTCGCTTCTTCACCAGTATGTGCACAAGACGTTCTACGAGGACTACCAGACCACACTGGGGGCCAGCATCCTCTCCAAGATCATCAGCCTTGGTGACACGACTCTGAAACTCCAGGTGAGCCGCCCCCCCTTTCCCTCTGCACACACCTGGAAACTGCCCCAGCTCCCGGGATAGCCACTCATGCCGCACAGTGCTCTCGGGACTAAGATGGTCTACAATAGAGGTTCTACAAAGTACAGCTCATGGGCCAATGCCTGTTTTTATAAATAAGGTTTTATTGGCACACAGCCATATCCATTTGTAACTTGACATTGATCGTGCGGTGGGTTACGAGCTAGGCTGCTAATCGTGAGGTCAGCGGTTCCAAACCACCAGCCGCTCCATGGGAGAAAGATGAGGCTTTCTACTCCCATAAGGAGTTACAGTCTCAGGAACCCACAGGGGGAGTTCTAGCCTGTCGCTTGGAGTCAGAACTGACTGGAGGGAGTCCATTTGAGTTTGAGTTTGACAGCTGCCTTCACACACCCATGGCACAGGTAAGTGGTTGCCACAGAGCCGTGGTAGTGCCCGTAAAAAAACCAACCCATTGCTATCGCACTGATTACAACTCATCGATGTTGGACACCTTTGTAGAGTTTCCAAGGTGGTAAACCTTTACAGAAATAGACTGCTACATCTTTCTCCCAAGGATGGGGCTGGTAGGTCCAAACCACCGACCTTTCGGGTAGCAGGGCACCAGTGAGCCCACCGTACCATCACGGCTCCTGTGTGGCCCACAAAGTCTAAAAAATTGACTGTCTTGTGTGTTTTTTTGGTGGGGGGCGGGGAAAAATCCAGCTAGTCCCCAGTCTCAAGGTAGAGCACTAATCAAGGAGTGGGGAGATCCCCTAGTCTTGGTTCCCCGGGGCATATTTTTGGCAGGTAGCCTTAGGCAAGCCATTCCCAAAGTCCAAATTTCCACATCTGTGGACTAGGGAGAGTGCCCCCCCCCCCCCCCCGTGCTGGTGAGGCAAGGAAGCAGGAGAGAGACAGACGTGTGGAGGTGAAAGAGTAGTGTCAGGGCGGCTCTGTGCATGCAAGATGTCCAAGTGAGCAGAAAACCTCTTGCATCTCTATGGAGGCTTTTACCAAGAAAGGAAGCTTTGGTGAAAGATGCCCCAGGTGGGCCTGCCTTCAGTGACTCATCCTGGCTGTCTTGGGCGGCTGCTTCCCCCCAGATCTGGGACACAGGTGGTCAGGAGCGGTTCCGCTCCATGGTGTCCACGTTCTACAAAGGCTCTGATGGCTGCATTCTGACCTTCGATGTCACTGACCTGGAGTCCTTTGAAGCCTTGGATACTTGGCGGGATGACGTTCTGGCCAAGACCGCCCCCGTGGAGAAGTCCTACCCCATCGTGGTGCTGGGGAACAAGATCGACCTGGCGGACCGACAGGTACCACTCCCTCCTTTATCTCCGCAGCAAGCACTGTGAGTGTTTCCTAGGTGACAGGCATGGTGTTAGGTCCCTCACAAGCAGAACGAACCAGGCACAGCCCTGGCCTCAAGAATATCACTCTCAAACTCCCCTCCAACGAGTCAATGCCAACTCACCCTCTGGAGCAGGGTTCAACGGGCTTCTGAGACTACAGCTGTTTACAGGGATAGAAAGCCCCACTTTCCCCCTCAGAGCCGCTGGTGGTTCCAAACTGGACCTGGGATTGCAGCCTAATTGTCACCACCAGGCCACAAGGGCTCCTTCAAGAATCTCACAGCTTAGGGGAACACATTTTGGAAGATAGCTATGGTATGAGGCAGCGTCAAAAGGTTCACTAAAAATGGGAGGAAAAGATCATCAGATTTGCTCACCAACTGTTTGGACATGCCTTGAGTATTTGAGGATCACAATGGAGGGGCTTCTACCGGAGCTCAGAACCTAGAAAGGGCTTCCTGGAGGAGGTGGGATCTAGGAGAGACAAACAGCATGAGCAAAGGCAAGAAACAGCCCAATGCGAGCTGAAAACAGAGGGGTTTTTGGTGTGTAGAGACGGGAGTGGAAGAGTTCAGGCATCAGAGGTAGGCAGGAGTCAGAGCTCAGTGGAGTCTGAGTTATCCCGTAGGAGAGCGTCTCTACCTAGAGACGTGTCGAGCATTTGTAAGTACAGCGTGAGAACTGCCTCTTACGGATTCTAAGACTGGAACTCTGTATGGTCGTGGAAGGCCTCGTCTTTCTGCCTTGGAGAGGCTGGTGAATTCAAACTGCTGACCTTGTGGTTATCAGCCCAATGTGTAACTCACTACATCATCAGGACTCCTTTGATTAACATAAGCATAATCTAAATCCTCTGGCTCGCGCTTGGCTGCTGCTCTGCCCCACAGGCCCACTGTGACGGTGTGCACCATTACAGTGACACTGAGTAGAGCAGCTTGATCATTGCCTGCTAATGTGAAACAAAGCAGAAGCTGATTTAAAATGGAGAAGACACACTTGCGCCAAGTGAAGCCCAAGTGATACCAAAAGGAGCTTTCTCTGTGTTTCAGACAGAGAAGAGTAATGGGGAACTAATGGTCCTGTTTGAATTATAGTTTCAAAATGATGCAAATAGAGAAAAGTGATAGGAGAAGTGAGACCTCATTTGACACCATCAAGTGTATTGGAGGGATGCATGGATGCATGGATGGGTGGGTGGGCATGGATGGATGGGTGGGCATGGATGGATGGGTGGGCATGATGGATGGGTGGGTGCATGGATGCATGGGTGGGTGCATGGATGGTTGGGTGGATGGATAGGTGGATGCATGGATAGATGAGTGGATGTATGGGTGGGTGCATGGATGCCTGGGCGGATGCATGGTTGGATGTTTACATGTTTTAGGGGGTAGAGCTGTTAACTTTGTGTTAAGGTCCTGGGAAAATGAATTTGTAAGTGTAATTTTTGAACCTCAGAATCAATTGTTTGGTTTTCCATGGTTTCTTATGGGAAGATTATGTTCAGTTCTCAAACGTTTCAGTGAATGAACTTGGAATGAATTGGGTCCCACAGCAGAGGCATCACCATGACAACGACAGGGAGTGGAGAGGAGTGACTGGGTGGGGAAGGGCAGTGACTCTAAGCCTAATTCAGAGACTGAGGATCCACAAGCCAGGAAGCGACTGCCCTCACCCGTTCTGCTGAAGCACAGGCTGCCTTTGGCGCCAGCCCTGGCAGAGGGGTCTGCCCATACCTGAGTTCCTCAAAGGGGATGGTGAAGGCTGGCTGAGAGGCAGGAGCCCTGCCCTCTGAGGGCCACTAGGAGCCGGCTGAGAGGCAATGCATTCTGCACTTGGGGGTGCAGAGGGAAGGCCCGTCTTCACTTGGCAGAGTGCAGTGGGAAAGAGTTGAGAACCAGGGAAGGCGCATCTTTCTGCACCCAGACATGGTGGGCTCCACCCACCCCTCCCACCAGCTGTCAGTGTGCCCTGGAACCACCCCGGTTCCCTCCTCTGAAATCGAGGCCACACAGGGGCTTTGAGAGGTTACTCCTATTGGCAAGACTTAAGGAAACAAAGTCTATACGTCCTGCAGCAAGCTTAGTGCATAGAGATGATGGCACAGTGGGCTAGGCTTTTGGCTGCTAACCACCAAGTCAGTGGTTCAAACCCAGCAGCCACTACATAGGAGAACGATGGGGCTGTCTACTCCCATAAAGGTTTACAGCCTCCGAAATTCCACTCAGTTGCAGTGGGCCTGGGGAAGGGATGGACTGGGACAAGGCAGGGGGTTTTCTTAATTAATGAAAGAATAATGTCAACAGAAAGAAAAAGCACACTAAAATACATTGAGGGAACAACTGACATCGCTTCTTTTTTTCTAAATCCCAACGCCTGACACTTGTACAACAAAGCCAAACACACCAAAATCAGCCGTCACTGCGTTGATTTAGACTCACGGCGGCCTCACAAGTATCAACGTAGATGCTCCATTGGAGTTCAACGACTAGAGTTTTGGACAGAGATCACCAGGCCTTTCCTTCCAAGGCACCTGAGTAGACTCGAACTTCCAACCTTTGGGTTTTTTCCCAAGTACTTAACGCTCTGTGCCACCCCGGGGCTCCTTATAAAGAGACACGAGGGGGAACTGAGGTCCATCATCACCTGGCACCAGGGCAGGCCAAGTCACTGCCCAGTGGGAGAGAAGGGTCAGCCAAGATCAGCAGGGCCCAGGGACCTGCACCAGCCTGGGCTTCTGCTAAGGAGTACAAAGAACCCCCTACCTCCCGGAGAAGCAGACCCCCTCCATTTCCTTCTCTCCCGTGAGGCGGAAGTGCTGTCTGCGGCTCTCAGGTGCCGGCTAGGTGCCCAGGACCATGCTCCGCTCCAGGGAGAAGTGGGGTGGGCTGCAGGGTATGGCATGGGAAGGAGTGACAAGAAGTCCAAGTCTAAGTCCTTGCCCTCAAGACTTTCAAAGACATGAGCCCTCTGAACTCCTTAGGTGCTGGCCCATTGCCACGGGGCCTGTTCTGACTCGGGACAGCCCCATTAGACAGGGTGGGCTTGTGCTAAAGGGTTCCCAGTTACGCCCACAGAATCGTCAAGTAAGTCGACTGTCCCGTCTTTTCCCCCCAGGAAGCAGCTGGTGGGCTTGAACTACCAAGCTTCCATTAGCAGCCAGGTGCCTAACCACTGGGTCACCAGGGCTCTGTCCTAAAATCTACTGGGGTGTTAAAAAAAAATGCCATCAAATCAGCCGACTCCCAGTGACCCGTGGGTGTCCGCAGATGACTCAGGGCATTGTCCGTGGCTAATGTCCCAGAAGCAGAGAGCCAGGCCTTTCCTCTGAGGTGCTCCTGGGTCATTCAAACCTCCACCCCTCAGGTGGCGGTACGAGTTGTGCCATCTAGGGACTCACAGGAAAAGGGGTTCACATCACCAAGCACAAGGCCCTTTCCTCAGCAGTCAAGTACAAATCAATAGCATTACAAGCTAACATCTTTTTTTTTAATTGGGGGCTCATACAGCTCTTATCACAATCCATACATATTTCCATTGCATCAGACACATCTGTACATACACTGTCAGCATCTTTTTCAAGACATTTTCTTTCTAATTGAACCTCTGGCATCAGCTCATTTTCCCCCTCCCTCCCCCATCCCCTTGATAATTTATAAATTCTTCTTTTTTTTTCATGTCTTACACTGACTGCTATCTCCCTTCACCCACTTTTCTGCTGTCCATCCCTCTGGGAGGGGGGCCATATGTCGATCGTTTTGATCGGTTCTCCCTTACTGCCCACCACCCCCTCTTAACCTCCTAGTATCTCTGCTCCCTTTATTGGTCCTGAGGGGTTTATCTGTTCTGGATTCCCTGTGTTGCGAGCTCTTATCTGTACCAGTGTACATGCTCTGGTCTAGCCAGATTTGTAAGATACAATTTGGGTCATGATAGTGGGGCCGGGCAGAGGAGGGGAAAGAAGCATTACAGAACTAAAGGGAGGCTGTGTTTTGTTGGTGCTATACTGCACCCTGAGTGGCTCGTCTCTTCCTTGTGGTCCCTCTGACAGGAGTGTCCAGTTGACTACTGATGGGCTTTGAGTCTCCACTCTGCCCTCCCCATCACTCCCATTGATATGCTTCTGTTTATTTGTTTGTTTTGTTTTGGGTCTTTGACGCTGATACCTGATCCTGTCAACACCGCATGATCACAGAGGCTGGTGTGCTTCTTCCCTGTGGGCTTTGTTGCTTCTCAGCTAGATGGCCGCTTGTTTACCTTCAAGCCTTAGGACCCCAGAGCATCGTACACGTTATATGTAGAGCAGAGGGACAGGGAGAACGAGGGAGCCCCTCGATGAGACGGACTGACATGGTGGCTGCGACCATGGGCTTGAACGAGGAGCCAGGGTGCAACTGGCGCAGAAATGGGCAGCGTTTCACTCTGTCGGGAGTCGGGACTGACTGGTTGACACCTAACGACGGCTGCCGGCGGGCAGGGGAGCTCGTGGGCGCTGCAAAGGGTGGATTGCAGAAGGAGCCAGCGGTAGGAAGACGCTCCGTGGTTCAGCCTTAGGGCTTCAGGCAACATCCTAGTCCTGCCAGGCCCTGCTCCAAGCCCCGCGCAGCCCTGCGCAAGCGCGTCAGGCAGCTCTCGGAGCTCTGCAGGCCCGAGGGTCCTTTCCCACCACATGTACATAGCCCCTCAGAGCCCACACTGAGAATGGAAGAGATACCGCGTGTCAAGTCTCAGACACACGGAAAAGGGGGTGGGGGGTTGGAGCGTGACATGGTGATGGGAGGGGGGCTGCAAAAAATTTCACAGGAAGTTGTCAGCATCTTTTTGTTCCACATTCCCACCACTCTTTTGCAGGCCCACTGCCATGGTGCTGGGGTGCTGGGCAAGCGTGGGGGGGTGGGTATCGTGAGGATGGGCTGATGTTGCATGATGGATGGAGAGAGCGCAATGCTGGGGCTGATGGTGACGAAGATGACGGTGAAACACTGATCGCTTCTTCTCCTCATTCAGGTCCCTCAGGAGGTAGCCCAAGACTGGTGCAAAGAGAAGGATATCCCTTACTTCGAAGTCAGTGCCAAGAACAACATCAACGTGGTGCAGGCCTTTGAGATGCTGGCCGGCCGGGCCCTGTCCAGGGTGAGTGAGTGGCTGTGGTCGCAGGACCTGCCAGTGAGGACCCCGTCGAGGGATCAAGTAGACACAGGCAGAGGTGTGGGTGAGGCAAGGTTGTTCCTCATCTCAGGTCATCCGTTGCTGAGTGGGCTCCCTGGTACTCCAGTTCTAGAACAAGAGATGCCCGAGCTGTAAAGACACGGAGCACGGTCTCACTCACGGCCTTCGGTCCATTCTGACCCACATCGGCCTGCTAGAACAGAGCAGGCCCACCCCTTTGGGTTTCCCAGACTTTACATCCCGGCAGGAGCACAGAGCCTCATCTGTCTGCCGCTGGAGGGGTTGAACCGCTGACCTGGTGGTTAGCAGCCCAAGACGTCGCCGCTGTGCCAACAGAGTCCTTGATCTGGCAAGAGTATGTGCGGAAGTTCTGAAAATCACCGAGTCCTGTACTCACGCCTGGTGGCATAGTGGTTATGTGCTGGACTGCTAACCGCAAGATCTGCAGTTCAAAACCACCTGGCTCCTTGGGAGAAAGACGGGGGTTTCTACTCCCATAGAGTTGCAGTCTCTGAAACCCCCAGGGGCAGTTCTACCCTGTCCCATAGGGTCACTGTGAGTCAGCATGGACCCGATGGCAGTGACTTTGTTTGTTTTGGGGACTCACCTCAACCCAAGACCAAACCACCCCCTTGCCAGCTAGTCGGCCCCACTAGGAACGGCTGCACAGGGCTCCTTGGCTGCAACCTCCGTGGAAGCAGGTTGCCAGGCCTTTCTTCTGCAGCACCGCTGCAGAACAACCAACGCTTCCATCAGTAGTAGATCACCCTCCTGGCTGCACCAACCAGGAGCCTCCTATGGTGGGCGGGACTTCAAGCCTTTTGTGGACAATGGGAGGAAGAGAGAGTGGAACTTGGAGAGGGTTTGAGACGAGCAGACCCGGCTCAACTCTCTTTTCCTTGAAGTGTTTGTCCAAGTGGACTGTCTAACAGGCAGGAGCTGCTGAAAGTTTTTCATCAAAAGGATGAGTAGATGTAGACCCCTTGGTATGATCATTCAACAAGTATGTTTTCTGTGTGTCCTATCAGCCAGGCACTGTGCAGGGCTCGGAGACCCCAGGGTTTCCTGAGGGATTCAGATGTACACAGAATAACTACAATACTGTACTGGGTGGTAGTGGGGGAGGAGGCCTAGTGGCATCGCGGGTTATGTGTTGGGCTGCTAACCGCAAGGTAAGGAGTTCAAATCCATCAGCTGCTCCGAGGAAGAAAGATGAATCTTTCTACTCCTATGAAGACATACAGTCTAGGAACCCACAGGGGCAGTTCTACGAGTCAGCATCAATTTGAAGGTGGTGGATGTCTATGGTAGGGAAAGACTGGCTGGGGGCCCTGAGAAGGAGCCCACCACCCACACTGCAGTGGGAAGAAGAGAGGGCAGGCGGGTAGGATCATAGACGACTTCCGGGAAGCAGTGGCAGGGTTGAATGCCTTTTGGATGTGCGTTTGGAAACTCAGAGAGGGGCGATGAGAGGTGGTCACAGAGGTGCTCAGTTTGCTTCATCATTCTGTCATGCTTAATCAGGGTGGACTTCCTGGAAGAGGGGAGAGGGTAATCTCAGCAGCGAGCCCTGAGTTGGGAAAAGGAGAAATGAGGAGGGGGAGGAGGAGGTGGAAGCCCCTGTCTGGCCCTGTGCTGCAGGGCTCCAGGCACAAGCCCAGGGGCTGCCCCTCCAGCAGCTGCCCAGGATGGAGTTGCACACCTGGCAGCCTTACCCCTGGGGGTCTTCACCCTGAGTTTGTCCTGAGCACTATTCTCATGCTTCCCCACCTCTGCCAGCCTCCAGCCCCACTGTCTCGTGTTAGGGGGAGGCAGTGAGGTGTCCGTCTCCAGGACTGGACCTAGAACTTCATTTCGTTGTCAGTAAAGTCAGCTCTCAGGGGCTTTGGCGGTGCAGTGGTTAAGTGCCCCACTGCTAACCCCAAAAGTAGCAGTTCAAATGCACCCAGCAACTCTGAGGGAGAAGGACCCGGTGATGTGCTCCCGTAGGACTCGCATCCTAGAAAACCCACGCCAAAGCAGCTCGCGACTCAATTCCAGGTGTGGAATTGAGATCCAGGTGTGGCTGCTTGAGCTGTCTTCTGGGTTTACCCCAGGAAGGTTATCCTGGTGAGCTGTGGCAAACAAGCCTCCCCAAGCAGGGTACAGTGATTCCCCAACGCGTAATCCACCCCCAAAGCATGTGCGTGTGGCAGGCATCCACCTCTCTGGGGAAGGAGCATCCTTATTCTCGAAATGTTATCCTTCTTATTTGGAGGGAGCCATGGAGAAGGGTTTGTCTGTTAACCACAAGGTCAGTGGTTCAAACCCAGCAGCCACTCAATGGGAGAAAGATGAGGCTGTGTGCTCCCTTAAAGATGAACAGCCTTAGAAACCCTGTGGAGTCCCCTTGCGCCCGAATAGACTCAAATGTCAGTGGGATTGGATGACCTGGGTATTCGATGCACCTGTTATGTTGTGATGGTGTTGACGGTGGTTCTCAACCTTCCTAATGCCTCGACCCTTTAGTACAGTTCCTCAGGTTGTGGTGACCCCCTCTGTGGGCATGTCTGAATGTGGGCAGACCCACCTAGAGATGGATAGAGGAGCAGTGTCTCGGTTCCTAAGACCATTGGACATATAGTCTTAGGCGACCCCTGTGAAAGGGTCATTCAACTCCCAAAGGGGTTGCGACCCACAGGTTCAGAACCGCTGAGTTAAGATGAGGTCATTCTGGATGAGCGTGGGTCCTACATCCAATAACTGGTTTCCTTCTCTGGAGAGAAAAATGTGGAGATACCCAGATCCAGCCACCGGGAGGAAACCACGTGATGACAGAGGCAGAGACTGGAGAGATGCAGCCCCGAGTCCACAGCTCCAGGACATGCCTGTGACCCCCAAAAGCCAGGAAGAGGCGAGGAAGGAAAGATTCCCCCTAGAGCCTTCAGAGGGGCATGTCCTAGCCCCTGAGGACAGCTTGATTTTGGGCCTCTCCACCCAGGAGCCGGTGTCCCACAGCGGTTAAGGGATTAGCCGCTAACCAACAGGGTGGTGGGTCACCCCAGGCCTGGAGACAGGCTGGCACTCCCTCAGTCATGCCCCTGCAGAGAGTTTACAATAGACTTTGACTTGTAAACTCTGGGAGTACCAGAAGAGTACCTGGATGGGGGAAGATGGCAGATGGAAAACCCTGGAATGGGGGTGCGGGAAAAGCACACTGACCCTTTCCAGACGCCTGGTGGAGCCGCCTGGATTCTTGCCAGCACTGTGGAGAGCGACACAGGTTCAAAGCCACGCCCTTGGCTGCCCTTGGCTGCCACCGTTGCTGGGGCACTGCCGTTTCCCAGCGCTTCTTGCCAGCAGCTTTGGTTGCTATGCAACTCGTGCGTGCGTGGCCCTTGTTTGTTAAGAGCGAAGTTACATTCCTAGCAGAACACCGACCCACCATCTTCCCGTTCGGCACACCCACCGTTTACAAATTCAGGTGTGCGCCTGTGGCTCTTTGTTGGCCATGGCTGGAGCGGAAAACGCCGTTTTAAACCTTGCTTCAAAGCTACCCAGAGGCTCCACGATAGGAAAGATCTGGCTACCAGTCTCCGTAAAGAGGACAGCCTGGGAAGCTATGAGATGGTCTATCCTGCCCTCTCGGCCCCTGTGAGTGGGAAGTAACTGGAATCCAGCCGTCTCCAGAACTGAGGTCGAGACCGTGTTTGACACCACCCGGTGGTGGGGACGTGTTACTGCAGGCCTGGGGGACAGGGGCTGTGTGAGGTCTCTGGGGGAGGGCCAGGCAAGCACCCGCGAGGAACCAACCCTGCATTCTCTCTTCAAGAGTCGGCAACACTGCGTGGAAGGATGTAAGGGCAAGGTCAGCAAGGACCAGATCACAAACGGCCTTGTGAGCCCACCCAGGAGGTAGGACTCCCTATCCTCTGCCCTGAGCTCCAGCTTTCTAGCACAGGCAGCGAGCAGGGGGCATCACTTGTGCAGCATCAGCATGGTGCAGAACTCTGGACGAGAAACAGCTCCCATGGAAACGAGCACGCTCACGAGGGCCATGCAGCAGTGTCACTCCTTTGGTTCGGACCCATGCACCCTGTGGACAACAGAACAGAAGCCCGCCCGGTCCTGCTCCCGCCTCACACGGTGTTTGCTGGGCTGGAGCCCACTGTTGGCAGCCACCGTGTCAGTCCCTCTCCAAGGTCCTTCCTCTTTTCGGATCACCCTCCACCAAGCATGGAGCCCTGGTGGTGCACTGGCTGCATACTGCATATCTGAAACCACCGTGGCTGCTCTTTAGGAGAAAGACAGGCTGTGTTGGTCCGGGTAGACTAGAGAAACACATTCATAGGTGCTCATATGTGTATAAGAAAGATGCTCATATATGTATACAAGAGCAATTGAATATTGAGAAAACATCCCAGCCCAGTCCAGATCAAGTCCATAAGTCTGATATTAGCCCATATGTCTGATACCAATCTATAAAGTCCCCTTCAGACTCATGCAGCACATACAATGATGCCGAATGCAGGAAGATCACAGGCCAGTGGGTGGAAAGTCTTGCGGATCCAGTGGTGGTGTAAGCATCTCAGCACTGGCAGGGGTCTCCACGTGGCTTCTCCAGCTCCAGGGCTCTAGGCTAGCTGCATGTGTCTTGTCTGCAGGAATGAATGTCTCGCACGCAGGGAGTGAGTGTGTGTGTGTCCCGCCTCCAGCCAGCTATTAATCTCCTTAGTGCCTGCAAATGAGGTTGTCAAGCTGCAACCTGATTGACAGGCTAACCTCCACGCCTTCACTCTTAAGTCTCAAATTGACAACAGATTCTGTAACTACCACACGGGCTTTCTCCTCCTGTATAGAGTTCCAGTCTCAGAAACTCACGGGGTGATTCTGCTCTGTCCTGTAGGGTCTCTATGAGTCGGCATCAACTCGAGGGCAGCGAGTGGGTGACTTTTGTTGTTGCTTTCTGCCAAGCATGATGTCCT